TCTACCTACAGAGAAGGAGAATGGGTACAGCCATTTACACATGAAAACACATATGGTGCTCTCTTCTTTACTTTTGTTCTTTTACTATATCACACCGCCGCTAACACATGCATGCTATAAAAGGGTTGACTTGCTGCCATTTTTGTATGAAAATGTAATACAGCTGAAGTGGGCACAATCTAGCCACTCAGCCTAAACAGAGCTAAAAAACATCAGAAAACTGTTCCAAACTCAGTGCCCTGACACAGCATGTCTCCATCCTTCCAGGGTCAGCCAAGCAGGGCTAAATCCAGAGCTACAGCCTCTAATGCCTTTAAACCCTGCTCAAACATAGCTATGAAGGATGGCTGCAAAATCTGTGGAGAGGGAACTTGAAGGTCTTCTGGAAACAATGCTTTTGCCTTGATTGCTAATACAAGGGGAGACAAACCAGAGAAATCACAGGCCATCAAGAGGAAATGACAGGGAGAGGCATCTCTCCTGACTTGAACCAGTCTTGGTCATAAAAGGAAGCTGGGGGAATCCTCATTAACCCTCTTTATAGATGAGCTGGGTGCAGCCATGATCAATTTTTGCTTGATGATTCAGATAGAAATAAACCCCCAAGGGCCCACACATGCTCTGATATATCCCTCTGCAGCTCCTGGCATTTTATCAATCGAGCCCTGTTTCTGCTGCTGTCAGCAATGCAAACAGACCTTGCAATCAAGTCCACAGCCAACAAGAGGTGCTGTGGGCTGAGCTGTGAATTGGGAACTTCAGTGTTGTCAATCTGTAATCAAGATGCACACCCCAGTACAACACAGCCATCCACCCTTTCACTTATCCGCTGTAGGATGAGGCAGGTCTGCCAAGCAAATGAAACAACAGTTGGATCTGGGAGCTCCCCAGACCATTCAAAGAGACTCTAAAGATCAGAAGGGAGGAAGGATGGTCCTGGTTCTTCTATCAAGAGTCTATACAGGCTCTTCTATCAAGCTCTGAGAGCCTACTGATCCTGCATTAAGTGACATGACTCTCACTATTGGCTTTCCTTTGTCTCCTTGCCAGAGGGAGAACTGCTTGTGCAAGGAAGTGTTCTGCTTTATTTTGTTTTGGCATGATATGTTAATAGAGAAGTGCATGTGCCGCCACTGTATTTATATTAGAGATAGGTGATGATGTTTGTGATGTCCCTTGGAGAGCCCTGTTCTTATGATACTGCTGGATCAATCGGAGTTAAGAAGCATGGTGATGCCTCCATTGAAGGTCACCTGTTAGGTATAGTTAGCTATCCTAGTGAAAACTCCATGGTCTGACACTGTTTCCCACCCTCAAGAGGAGTCCCTTTGGTAGTAACAGTGATCCCCACTATCATCCCCACTCCTCCATAGCACTTTTCATTGGTAGATCCCAAAGTGCTTTGCAAAGGAGGTTACTATCTTTTTCCCACCTGAAAAACGGGGGAAATTGAGGCAGGGGAGGGGGAAGATAAAGCAGCTTTCCCCAAGGTCACCCACCAAACCAGTGGCAGAGCTGAATAAAGAAACATGTCTCCTGGGTCCTGGTCCAGGTGTCAGTCTATTAGACCCCACTACATCCTGTAGTAGTAGTAATGATCGTTTTATTATGAACTAGAATTATTAAATAGTAATCATTATTATTATTTGGTCTTACTGAGAAAAAGGGCCATGAGAAAGCCAAGCACCATGAGACAGACCAGGTAGTTCAGAGAGTCTCGAGATTTGAGCTGGTTATCCAAATGGGACCTCCTATTCATACGAGGGTTTCTCATAGCTACTAAAGCACACATGTTGTTCATACTTTGGGCTATCCCCTCCCCAAAATGATCCCCACCTCTCTCTCTCCCTCATCAAGGACAAGCCTTACCTCCAAGCCGGTGTAGTTCATTCCAACGTAACGTGGGATGAGGCTGCTTTTACGAACAACGGTAGCATACAGGGTTGTCTCAGAGGAGTCCTTCTTCTTTGGCTGTTTGTGGACAAGACAAAACCACAGGGAGGAATGAATTTCAGACTATAAAACAAGAGGCGTTGTGTACATAAACAGTCTGGATTGCTCTGTGGTGGCACAGTGCTGCCATAACTGACAATAAAGCAGCCGCTGATAATTAAAGCTCACCGTCCCCTAGAGCCTTTCCAGAAAGATCAATATAATAAATCTTTCAGCTTTTGCATTTAAATATTTAATACTCTCCAAACACAATCAGCCACGGGCTTCCTAATCCCCTTGTAAGGGGGAAAAATAAGGAAGAAGACACACAATTGCATTAGCTGGGGGACTGGGCGTTGATTTTTGGCTGGGATGAAATGAAGTTTGCCAGGCCTCAATTCCACATGGCATTTCTGGTGAAACTTTCTTAACGGGGAGCTTCCTGCTAGTCATTCTAAAAACTCTGCACCTCGGTACTTGTATTTGCACATCTCATTATTAAAATACCTGTGGTGGGAAATCTGTTGTGGGACTGAAAATTGGATCATCGGAGGGGGGAAGGGTATAATAAAACAAAAAGATCTTGGGGACCATGGTGCTCTCTTGAATGTCCAAAGGAAAGGGTCAAACATGAACCCACAATGACTGGCCTGCACTTACGCCAAGCTAGTCTTTCTGGAGGTGGTGTCTTATGATTAGGATGTAGGACTGAGAGGTGAGAGATTGGAGCATTACCCCCAACTCTGCCACTCTTCAGCTGTGACCTTGGGCGAGGGCATTTACTAAAACCACTCAGGCCTTGTCTAGTCATAGAGAATCTGGTGTGCCAGTCACTGCCTGGTCCTCACTGCCAATCTGTAAAACACCAGGCATCCACCCACAGAAAAGATCTGAGCACAGCCCACCTCAGTGCCATGCATGTTGGCTTGAGCAAAGCTAACAAATAGGTGGTCTTCTTTGCAAGTCCCCACTATCAGGGTACATGTGTGAATAGAGATTCCCATTGTAGTGGCCCTACCAGTCCTCCCAGTGCTATAAGCAATACATCTTTGTTAGCCTAGCCATGGGTACCACCACATGCCCCATCTGCTCATTGCTCACAATAATCAAGCAACCCCACACTCACCTTTATTTCAGTATCTTCTGTGTTTGAATTCTGACTGTATGTTCTCAGGAGCTATAGTCCAAAGAAACAATTGCCTGGCAAGAAGGCACTGAAGTTCCCAAAGGTACTGAAATTGTTTCTATTATCTCATCCTTTGGCGTTCTGAAGGACGGAGGAGTAACTGAGATGCAGCTATGAACCCCCAGACTTTAAACACAATGGACATCCCAGAGCAAGCATGGGGTTAGGTACACAGGATTGACAACATGTGCCAAGGTCCAGGGAATAAGACAAAGCTTTGTTCTTGACCATGTAGAGGGGGACAAAAAGGGAATCAAGACCCAATGTCTGACTTTCAGGAGGAGGAAAAACAGTCTTTACAAAGCAGGGACAGGTCTGAGCAGATGGACAAGTAAGTGATAGCAGAATATATCCAGACTGAGCTGGAAATGAAAGTCTTTAGAGAAGACAGATCTAGGGAGAAACTGCCAATGAACACACAGGGGTATAAGAAATGGCAGCAGTGCTCCATGCTCGCCCTTGCTCACATCCATCCTCTAGCCATTCCAGCCCTTCATGGACATGGGAAAGACAAACCAATATCCCTGTAACCTGCTCTCCCTTCCGCTCCCCTCCCTGTCAAAGTAGCACCCCGTTTTGAAAATGCAGGCAGCTTCTATGAAAAAAAATACAACCAAAAAAAAAAAGGGCTGTGGATAATTAGCAAATCAATCACTGCATTTTTTTTAATTGTAAGGCCATGATTTACTCCTCCCTAAACTCCACCATAACTCATGCAAATCATTAATAAATCATGAGAAACATAAATGCGGAGAAGCATCTGATGTATAAACCTGCTGCCACAAAGCACACAAAGGCACTTCATAGCAGCCCCTGCCAATAGTTATTACTCCCATCAAGGCATTCACCCTACTGTGCTCTATAAAAAAAAATCAACTCACTATACAAATCAGGAGAATGGCATCAGGCCTAAAGGTCACATGTTTTTAATACAGAAGAAGAAACATGCTGGCACAGCAATACATGGCTCTTAATGAAGGGAAAAGTAACACTGAGTTGACTGTGCAGCAGCCCTGACTGAGCTCCCCCTCATGAACAGTCTCCAGGCTGCTACGCTAGACACAATCCTTGGATCCTACATACATTCAAAGCTCACCAGGTCTAGGCAGTATCCAGCCAAATCCTAAGCCTGGCTTCTCAGGCACATTTGCCTGAGTAATATCTGCCTAGTACTCTTTCCTGGGATGTGCAGTCCAGGTGCTCTAGGTCCCAGAGCCAGTGCTGATACCCATCTTAATAATCTCAAGCTCCAGCCACTACTGATGTCTACCCTTCTGGGGACTCCAGTTTGCAGTGTAACTCTTCAGGAAACTCATCACTGTTAAATTAAAGGAGCTTACAGGCATTGCAAAAGAGCTCTTACACCAGAGACACCTTGCACATAGACATAGCATGGGAGTTACAGACCTAAGCAAGGCACACCTGCATTCAGTCCCCTCTCTGGTGTCCTCACCCAACTAAGAGTCTTTGGGACTTTGGTTAGCACTCTTTCAGGGTCTTCCAGGCCTCCTGTTCAGTCTCCTTGTTCCTGGAGATGGTCTGGACCCAGTCCAAGAAAGTCTAGCTTGTAGGCAGAGTTGTGTGTCAGATGATTTCCACACAGCAGTTTCAAAACCCCCTGTTCTTGGGTGGATACATTTGCATAGAAGACCATCAAGGCTGATAACTCCCAACTAACTTCTAGTGTTAGCTCTTTGCTATGTGTAAAGATTTCTCCTGACTCCTCCAGGTGTCCCAGCCCAACATAGAGGCTACAGGGAAAAAGTGAGGGTACAGAATAATTCCCAGTCAAAATAGCACATGCAAAACTGAATGGAACTTGCAGGTTGCTATGTACAAATACAGACTAGTATAAATGTGACAAATGGACATGCCTGCTCTGTCCCCAGCACCCTGCCATCATTTGGGTGGCTCTACACAGAAATGCATATCAACTGCAGCCTGTGCTAAGATAAGGAGCATCCCCCTTACCAGCTGCTTTTTTTTCTGGCTATGCAGAGACTGCCACAGGTCCTGCTGCCTCTTCACTCCCTTGATGACAGTATGTATAGCTCTTTCACATACAGCATGCCATGCCAAATGCAACAGACAGCTGTCACTATCGCACACTGGGCTGTATATGTGGGTGCAATACACATCACCATCTTGCCCCTGCTGAATGAATGTGGACCTGAGATAGTGTCTTGCCTTGGTCTGTGTAACTGGAAATAGTAAAAGTGATGTAGGAACAACAGGTTTGCATGCTAGGCCTCCCAGGAGCACAGTGGAGGCAACAGCTGAGTTATTGTGGTTTGGGGTGGAGGTGTAGACCCTGTCTGCACCTCTTGATGAAATTGGACCTCTTAATAACTCTGGTATCATGCCTCTGGGAGTTTTAAGTACGAATCTCCCATCTTCTCTCCCCTCCCTCACACCCTTCCCCTACCCTCTGTCTCTGCTTTCACACTCTACTGTTGAGCTCTGCCTTCTTCTTAGTCATCCCTAGTCAGTCCTTAACTGCCTTCCAAAGCCCAGTTTCTCCTCTCAGCCACCCTCACCTAGCCTTTACCTCTCTACCCATTTCTCACTGTCTGATCTCTGCCTCCCCTCCTATTTATATACTTTCCATTTCCTGCCTCATTCACCTTCCTCCAGCCCCTGGTTCTTCTCCAGTTCATAAGTACTTAAGATCACTGTGACAAGTCCAGCCAGGGCTTCCCTGCAATGATAAGATAAGGGAAGAGCTCTAGGGTCAACAGCACTGGCCCAGGGCATTTAGGGTGTCTCACAATGGCATCAAAGGTAGGAGCTGGAGCCCTGAAGTGGATTCAAGAACAGTTGTCCACAATCAACAGTAAATGCTCACGCAGTTGTTATGGCTCTGAAGTTGAAAGCAGCCAGACATGACGCTAGCATACCATTGGCTATAGAAACTGGCACACCCCATGCCAGCCCTATGGGCTGCTCAGAATGACCTTTGACCTTGGGCTTTTGGTTTTATTTTTAGCTGTGTTTAATTCAGGACATGAACTGGAATGGAGCTAGCATCACAGGACCAGTTTTCCATGGATCTGCAGCAAACCCTTCATAACAACCCCTGTATAGGGAACTGGACTGATATTCCCATCTCTACCTCTAATCTGTAGTGTAACCCTGAACACATTTTTCTCTGTGCCTCAGTTTCCCTTTCTGTGAAATGGGGATAAAGACACCAATGTCCCTTTGTAAAGCACTTTAGGATCCCCCTGTGAAAACTGCTATATGAAAGCAAAGTATTATTATTACGTATTCGTAAAGGGCTTTGAAAGCCTTTGGAGCAAACAGCAGAGTGCTGAGATTTCCATTAAGTGTTTCAAACCTCAGTCTGGTTTGTGTTCTCAGTTCCCAAGGGACAGAGTGAGAAAGGCCATTTCACAGCTTGACATCATTTTTCACCATTTTCTGATGCACTCATTTCCAGGAAAGGAAAGCCACATTCTTTCTCTCTCTCAAGAGAGGCCCAGGGAGCTCTTTGGTTGCTTGTTTCCTTTAGCACACTCTTCTCCTTGTGAGATTTTGAAAATTTCAACCCAGTTCCCACTGTGGATTACAACAGTTACACATGATTGGCTTCATCTGACCTTGGCCAGCTGAAACTAGGTGAGTCCAGGGCAAGTCCAGTTGCTTGTAAATCTGGAATTGGATGCACCCAAGGATTGGCATACCATAAACACTTTGATTATTATAAAAAGCACAGTAGTTCACAGGACCCTGAGTGTGCTGTACAAAATAGGTCCCTTCCCCAAAGAGCTTACATATAAGTATAGCACAAGAAGCAACCCTGGGGATAGACAGAGAAACAACGTAGCACAAGGTAACTATTAGGGCTGTGCGAAATTTTGCTGAAAAGAAACAAAAAGCATCGAAACAGCTTCAAAACAAAATGAGGGCATTCGAAACATTTCAAAAGTGGCTCCACAGTCCCATGTAGCTCAGCCCCGCAGGGAGTGTAGCCACGGCTCTCCTCGCTGGGCTTTGCTCCCATTAGCTCTACCAGCCCCATGGAGCTCGGTCCGGTGGCGGGAGGCGGAGCGCAGTGCCAGCTCTGTCTGCCTCCCACCACTGGGCTGCACTCTGTGGGGCTGGTGGCGCCGATCAGAGTGCAGTGCCGGCTCTGCCCGTCTCCCACCACCGGTCCCGGGAGATAATGGCAGCCTCCTTTCATCCAGGGCACAGATCCGGGCGTTCGCACCCCTGGGAAGGCTTCCAGGCTGTGCTGGACTCCTCCCAGGGGTGTGAGCCCCCGGCTTTGTGCACTAGATGAGAGGAGTCCCAGGAGGCAGAAGCAATCTTCTCTGGTGCTGAGCGCGGGCTGTGCCCAGCACTGGTCCCAGGCAGCAGTGGCAGCCTCTTCTCATTTGGTGCACAAATCCCAGGGCCCGCACCCCACAGGAGGAGTCCGGCACAGCCCCGCAGCCCTCCCAGGGGTGTGGGTCTCCGGATCTGGGCACCAAATGAGAGGAGGCAGTCGCTGCCAGCAAGTGTCAGGACTTTTGCTTTGAAGAGTTTGAGGTGCAGTTTCCCAGAAATGTCTCTGCCTATCTCCTTGAAACTTGGCAGGCTTTATGCCCTCAGAAGGTACTACCATCCCTGCAATTTTCATCCAAATGAGGCAAGAAATGACAACGTTGTAGGCATTTTCATGATTCCCCATTATAGTCTATGGGCAAAACGTCGAAACTGATCAAAACAGTGAAACAATTTCGATGAAATGAAATGGGATAGCGCTTCGAAACGAAATGAAATGACAAAATGAAACACTGTCCCGCTGAAATGGTGAAATGGATGTCAAAACAAAATGATGGTGTTTTTCACAGCCCTAGAAACTATGAAGTTATAACGTAGAAGATGGTGGATAGGCAGCAAGAAATAAAAAATAATGTGTGTCTCATGGTGCCAATTAGGTCGGCCACTTCTTACCAGCATCAGTTTGAAGTGGTAGTGATGGAAAGGTCGGAGATACCGCACAGGAATCTGGTAGGTTGATAACACTTCCTTGGTGTTTTTGTCTGCTGTGGTCAAGGTCACAGCTGGAAAGGAAAGAGAAGAAGAAACGATCAAAGTGGAAGATCTAAGAGGTTGGGGATGGTTGGTGGAGAACGAGTCCATGTTTCCAGTCAATGCTTGTGTTCAGAGGCAAGAGGCGTTATTCAGCCCAGCGTCTGTCAGCACTGCTGGAGA